CATGTTGTAGTCATCGTCAGGATCTCTATGGCAAATTTGCATCAGAAGAAAAATGCAAAAATCTATCTCTTTTGTAGCATGTAAATGTTAGGTTGGTTTGTTTTTGACCTAGCAAGAAGATGACATCATTTGAAAGGACATTTCTTTAACAAACAAAAAAAAAACCCTTTGAAATATTGATTTATAGTCAGTAGTAAGATCTTTCTAAACTAAGGTTTTATCTGGAAACACAAACATACAGAATTTCAAATATTCATTCACAGATATTTGTAGGATGGTGTGGACTTTCAGTCAGTTCATTGATGATGGTGGTGGTGGTTGTTACTGGGTTCCAAAGGACTTATCAAGATGGGAGAAGTCTACTTAATCAATACAGTATGTATCTATAAAAAGAAATAAAACTGGGATTTCAGATTTAGAATTCATAAGGAAATGTGCTCCATACAAACCAAGTCTCTTCTTGAGATAAGACATCCCATCATTAACTTATCCAACATTAGATTATTCCTTTCTACCATAATCTAGAAGAAAAACAATATGGAAGCCTGCACTATACAAGTATTGTAGATAGGAAATATATCTACAGGAACCCTGCTCATCTTCACTAGCACTAAGCTTGTCACTTTAAACTTTAAACCAGGGAATTCCATCCCCATCCTGTCCTGTTTCCAATAGTTTCTCAATTCTTATGTTATTAAAATATTTTGATTCATTGTAACTCAGTTGTCTGATGAAATCTATGATTGAATAATATACTGGGCACCTTCTTTGCAAAGATGTTTACTCTCTACTTTGATTTGTTTGATTTTTGTGTTCTCACATGTTTATTTTTTAATAGAAGAAAGATGAAAATGACTGTTTTACAGTACATTTCTAGATCTACTTTAACTTTACCTCAGAGGAAAACCATTTGTTAACATTTGTTGAACATCTTCTTTCCCCTTATGTATAATGCATTCATCAGAAGAAAATTTTAGAGATTTTCCATTGATTTCTGTAAGACACCATGTATTACTGTTACAAATAAAAATGTTTAAAATCATGTGTATTCCTTTCTCTTATTCTTTTGCAAGTTGAATATAGTAGAAGAATGCAAAGCTGGGCATGTGTTTCTTTCACTGTAAATACAATACATAATATTGTGCTTTCTTGAAAAGCTTTCATTTGAAGTTTACGACCAATTCCTTGGGTGTCCCACCATTTTCATCTTACCATTTTTTCCAGCAGAGAGAGAGAGAGAGAGAATGAAAATGGGAATGAGAATGAGTGCATTAAAGATTTTAGTAAGCCAAATATTCATCAAAAGCCAAACTGAATTTGATGTTGTGGCTCTCAAGAAGTAGACAGGGTTTTCTTCTCTGTTAGCTCAGACATCTGTTGTTAGGCCCTTCCATCCAGGACGGTTAAAGCTGCCTGGGAGGCGACCTGTACTTGGGTCGATGCAGTGTCAGTTTCCTTGAGTGAAGGAGTAGTCTTAAAAGAGGCTTTGGTGCATCCTCTCTCAAGAAACCATAATTGGGCCCAGTAGTCCTGGACAACTATTGTCCAGTTTTGTCCTCTTTATCCATCTCAGACCTTAGTAAAGCAGGAGATTATTTATCTTTCAAATAAAGAAGAATGTTTAGGGCCAATAGCATTTAACCACCTAAGCTGTCTCCATATGCAACAGTTCATTGAAGGCTTCAACAGTATCACTGACAGACAAGGTGCAAGAATCCTCAAGTGCATTCAGGAAACCATCTGCACCCATTAGACGCTTGAATTAGTCCATGTGAAGTGGTCCTTTCTCCTTGCAGAGATATGTATCAGCTGCTAATAAAAAACAGTCATGATGGTTTTCATATACTTTATAAAACTTCAATTACTGCAGTGGATTACTCATTTTACTTTCTATGTAATCCGTGGATTGAAACAATATCAGTGTCCCTACAGAATTATTCAAAGAATAATGATGTGATTTGAACATGGCGGACTGAAATTATGGTCCTTGCCTTCAATTAGTGGAAAGTGAGATCAGTAACTCTGTAATATTGAATTTTTGTTTCTGTAAAAATATGTATGTCTTTAGTGAAGTGCAGTTTTGTTCCCTTTGTTTGCAAGATGAATTGTGTGAAAACTATATTATATACATCATATGACTTTTCTATCTTCCCTTGAGACAGTGAGAAATAAGGCAAGATACCCTATAGTGATTAGTAGGATCATTATCTGTGTTCTTGTGAACATCTGCTGGACAAAAGGTTATCAGACTCATTAATGAAACACGTATCTGGCAATTAGGTTTCTTTCCTCCAGTTCCAAATAGTCTTATCTCCATGGAAATGTTTGCCTTGCAGGCCATCTATCAAGTACAAAATAGTTTTATCAGCAAACCGAAGCAAATGGCAGATTCAAACGTATATCTTTTGCAGGCATTAGCAGTGGAACCTCTCTTTGTAACTTAAATTGACTCAGTAACAGATCACTTTGTGATCCTAAAACTGAATGCAGATAATTGGTTAAAGGGGCAGAGATGGAATCTGCAGACAGTTGAAAAGAGCAATTCTCATGTTATATATCCATAAAGTAACAGCAATTCAGGCCCTTGGAGGCAATCTGACTCACTTATCAAAGCAAGAATGACATCCAATTTGAAGCAATTTGGATGGCCTTGGACCTTCAGCAGGCATCAAGGGGACCTCAGGCAGAGTGCAGCTTGGAAACCCTGGGCCAGGAGCTCCCCTAGGACATGCTGATAAGAAGCTTTGGCCAGCCAGTGCTGAAGGGATGAGTGAAGCAGCAGCATCAGGTTGCATCCCCAGGACATGTTGGCCAGGGCAGCCAGTTGATGCAGAAAGAGGTGGAAGGGAAGGATTCCCTGGGATGTCCTACCTGAGGGAGAGGAGCAGGAAAGATGGCAGACACGACAGCACCTGCAGCTTGCCTCCCCCCTGCCTGCCCCCTTGCCTCCCCCCTGCTGACCAAAGGTTGCAATGACTTCAGCAAAGAAAGGTATTGGGAAAAATGACTAGAGGTGTGAGTTGGCCGGTCAGGTGGGCTGGGCTTGAATTCAAGGGTGACAGTAATTTTTTTAGCAAGGCACTAAAAATTCAGTGGGTGGGCTGATACACAGGCCCTGTGGAAGAGAAGGAAAGAGAGTGGCGAGATGCACTAGCCTAGCCTTCTTTGCCCATGCGACCTCACTGTTTTTTCCTCGGATGAAAAATGGAACAATCAAATGTTCCTGGCTTCCATTCAGCTGGATCGCAACCCACCCAAACTGGTCTGATTGAACTTCCAACCACAATGTCTTTGTTTCATACATGAAACAAAACACACTTTCAGTTCTTGTATGCCCCTTCAGGTGACTGCTACGCCATGGCCCATAATCAGGGTTAGTAGGAAGCATCATACAGCAGAGACTCACATATTGTTCATCCCTTGACTAGTTTAAGTGAAATCTATATGTATAATCTGTTCAATCTAGTCACCGCTATTTTATGCTCTCCTCATGGTTGTGAACCAGAACAGATAAAAATCATTTGTTACTCTTGTGCTACCATTACATTAGAACACATACTGTACTAATACTATCACCCAGTTTCTTGAAAAATATGTTCTCAAAACAGGCTTTGGATTTTGTACCTCATTCTTAGAATTTTTTCTCTGAGCTTATTGTTCCAAAGTGATGGGTATTGTAGTTTTATGCTACACATCTCACCATAAGCCTTCCTGAGTGCCCATGCCTTCTGATATAAAAAGTCCAAGGGGATTCCTTTCCTCCTGATTTTTCCTTTTGGCATTTAGCTGCAGTAGTTGAAAGCAGAACAATAGTAGTTTCCCACTAACATAACTGCACAACCTCTTTTTAAATAATTTCCATTAGTTGGCAAGTTTGAAATTCCATTTCATAGCTCACTTAGACCCCTTAACCAGATGTAGCTAAATTTAATTAACCTGCACTGCACCTATGAGAAGTTTTGTTTTGTTTTGGGAAAAAAATAAAATCAATTTATTTTTCATTAAATTGAATAGGTATAGTAGAAACATGCAGAATAAAATTTGGCACTTTGTCTATTACAGCTGTCCAGTGTTGGTTTTTACTGTACCTTCATATACATTCAGAACAATAAAATATTCTGCACATATCAGAAAATATATATAATTTAAATATAAGGTGCTGATTTGTTAGTATCCTACACTCAACCTGTCGTCAAACTCAGTGCTGGGTTTCTTTGTTGTTTTCTGTATCTATAATCTCAGCTACTAATGCATGCATTTGACAGGGAGACCCACAGACTTTTCAGTAAATATTTATCTTTGCAGTAATGATTAATAGTGAAACTGTTCACATCAGAAGTTAAGCCACTCAGAAAAAATCTTTGTTGGCCACTAGACCAACACGACTGGAAAGAGACAAATACTTGGGAGAGTCCAAAGTAACTTGTTTAATTATTAGTCTTTCTTGAACAGAGATTGAAGGAAAGGGTTAGTATGACACCATCTGCTGATAAACCAGCTGACAGGTTTTCTTGAATGCTTCTCACACTGGACTGGCAGATGTGATACATGTTCTGTCTTAATTGGTTGACACTTAAGTTACTTATTCTTGTAGAGGAGCAAAAGGAAGTGATTTATTTTTCAACTTCATATCTGTATGGGATAATTTAAGTTAGATGCACAGCAGTAGAAGTGCATATAAGGGCAACAAATATGGGGGGGGGCAGAGAGGTGCCCTTGTTAGATATTATTTAAGCAACACTTTCCTTTGTATTGTGGAAAATAGTAATTAGTAATTATTTTAAAGGAAATACTTTGCTCTTTCATCCTCAGCTTTACACCTTAATGAAATACATGATTAGACCATTCACACATAAAAGCAGGGATGTACAAAATATTCCAAGCTCAAATTATTCCAAGCATTCAGAACAAAATGCCCGGTGTCCCAGAGCTCAAGGCAAAACTGGGTATTTTCTTTCACCTGATTTTAGACATTCTGCCAAAGAGAAAGTGGAACAACTTTCCAAGACATTGCTAGTTCAGGCCAAGTGACATCTACCATATAATCTATAAGGAAAAAACGGCTAAAGAGATTATTTCAAATTTCATAAAATCTTTTAAAATTCCCCATAGAAATAAAAAAAATAAGCAAATCTTTGCAACTTGCATACATTTTTTTTAATAAAAAAATCATGATCAGAATCATTGTCATTATCTCCTTAGCCCAATTTTCTGTAGGCTGAGCAGTTAAATCTAGTGCCTGACTGAAAAATGTTCCAAAGGTTGTTGCCTCTTACTAAATTTTATGAAATGGAATATACTTTTGGAAGAAAAAAAAGTGAAACATTCTTGTAGATACAGCATATTGTTCTTGCACTTATGGCTGCAAAAGGTGTATGCTAATGTTTCACGTTTCATTTTACAACCATTATTTTTCTAGTAATCAACCAATTCACTGATATCCTACATTTCAATTAAATTTTAAGAGAAAATATGAGACATAATGTTGGACCTTTTAGGTAGTGGTGCTTCTGTCCCTGATGATTTCTTGCAGATAGTCTTCGCTTAACCACCATTCATTCAGTGACCGTTTGAAATTATGACAGTGCTGAAAAAATGGACTTATGACCTCTGCCTGAAATTACAACCATTGCAGCAGTCACGTGATCAAAATTTGGCTGCTTGGCAGCCCACCTGCACTTACGACCGCAGGGGCACTTTAACTCCCCCAACCGCCTATCCTCCACCCACCCATCTCTGCCCTTTTGGTCCCTGATGCCCTGTGCTCTGGTGGCCCAGCTGACCTTCACCTCCATCTTCTTGCTCCCACTGCTGAGGAGGTGCTGCTAGCTGCTGGGCTCTATGGGGTTGCTTCGTGCTGTGAAGAGCCAAAAGCAGCCTTTTTTCCCCTTTCTTCGCAGCACTCCCTCTTGTCCCTGGGGGTTGGCTGAAAAAGCTGCATGCCGAAATCCAAGCAAGATTTTGGCACAGCGCTTGTTCAGCCAGCCCCCAGAGTTGAGAGGGAATTGTCACGACAGGCGACAGCAGCTTGTGACCTTCCCTGCCGGCTTCCCCATTGACTTTCTGGGGAAGCCAGCAGGAAGATTGAAAATGGCAATCACATGATCGCGGGGTGCTTGGCAATTGCAAGCCACTGCTGACTGCTGAAAGCACTCTCTCTCATCTCTGGGGGCTGGCTGAAAAAGCTTTGTGCTGAAATCCAAGCAGGATTTTCAACCCCAGAGTGGAGAGGCTTCAGAAACCTCTCGACTCTGGGGCTGAAAATCCAAGCGGTTCTGAGGTCCTCGCACACCTGACCTGTACCACACACCCTGAACCCTTCCTGAGCCTCCCATGCACTCCCTCGCTCCCTCCCCCACCTGGCAGCACCTGGGGCTTGCAATTTCCTTCTGGCTTCCCCACTGACTTGATTACAGGAAGCTGGCAAGAAGTTGCCAAACCTAATGACCAGGGCATTCACTTATTGACAGCAAATGGGACTGCTAGGATTGCAGCCACTAAGCGAACCATCACATGATAGTTTGCTTAATGACTGCATCACTTAGCGACCTAAATTCTGGTCCCAGTTGTGATTGTTAAGCAAGGACTACCTCTGTTTTCTTACAGCAGGGGTTCTTAATCTGGGATCCATAGGCCCACAGATAGATTTCAGATGGGAAAAATACAACTTTATTTACGCATATATTACTATATTACGTATTTGTTAGGTCTTAATACATTGATACCTGTATTTGAGAACAATTGGTTTCCTTTTAATACAATCTATATTCAATGCCTCATTAAGCGTATATGGCACCCCTGGGACACACTAATGGCACCACCTCCTGCCAATGTGAAGATTTGGATTTTTAGAATGAGTTGGAAGAAGTCATCAGACTCATTAGATGGACCAGATTAGGAAATCAACTCCACAGGAAGGCTAAAACTACTTTTTATTGAGATTGGCTATATAACAGAATCTTGAAAGTCTGTTCTGTACCTCCTCTTCCTTCTTATAGTTCTGTGAAATAGTCTGTGCCCAGACCTCTGCCAAATGTTATCTCATTGTTCTAGGCTTAAAAAATGCTTCAGCCCATTTTGCCTAGGTAATGGTTCCTGCATATCTCTGTCAAAGTCATCTTTACTCTCTACAAAGGGGCCCATTGGGACCCCCTAAACTTTGGTGCCCTAGGCCAGCACTATTCACACTCAGCCTAAAGTCAGCCCTGTTTAAATCTGTACTTTTCATGTTAAGCATTTAAATTCATTTTTTTGAGAAAGGATCTGTAGTTTTCATTAGTGTCTCAAAGGGGTCCATGACACAAAAAGATCAAGAACTCCTGTCTTGGTGAACATCCAACTAATTTCTCCATCCACAGAATTGGTGGGGAATTTTGAAATCCCATTTCTTCTGAATCACATTGTATCGATGTAGAATTCTCACTCAAGGGGGACATGCTGTATCTATTCAAAGGAAAATCCAAATAAAAGGAGTTGTGTTCAATCAGATCATAGCATAGCATTCTGTTTCCACAGTAGCTATCAAGATACTTAGGGGCAGCCCATAAGCAACACATGAGTGCAATAATATTCTTCCAGCCATGTTCCCTAGTAAGTAATATCAACAAGTATACTGCTGCTGTTATTGGAGACTAGATAGATAGAGATATATAGGCATATATAAAATCCATCACAAATAATGCCTTTACCTCTATAAATTTTAAAGGTGTCCACATGGGTGGATTTCATTACACTTTATAGTACTGAATTTCATCATTTAACATGGGCTTTTATGGGTTCTTACCCAGTTCAGCTTCATTGAATGATCCCAAATTCTAAGATTTTGCAAAATACCTTTCAGTAAGAGAAGGAAGGAAAGCAGGCAGGCGGGTGGGCCTTCTGTTCAGTGCTTTGTTTGGAAATGTATCCATCAGCTTAAATAAGATCTGTCTGTAAAAGTGAACTTCTTCTAAAAAGCAAATTGTTTTCCTTGTGATTATTTTCCTGATTTTCTTCAGCTGTGGCAAGCATTCTGTAAATAGTCAAGCCCTCTGGTAGCCATCTTCTTAGAGCACCAAGAGTGTGTCTGCAACATTTTCTTCTTTTAATCCCACAACTGCTTAGTTGTCACAATCTTTGATGAGGACACTGTTAAACAGCTTTTAAAGTTGAAGTGAATCATATCTATCAGATCATCTGGTCCACACATTTTAACATTCTCATAGAACTCCAGAAGGCTAATCAGATAGGGTTGATCTTTGCAAAAGTCTATTGATTCTTCTTCAGTACAATTAGCCCTATACCGCTCATAATCTTGTATTAAATAATGTTTAAGGAATAATGTTGATTGATTGTGATTTTAACATGGATTAAAGGGTTGCAGTTTCTTAGATCCTCAATAAAGCATAGTTTAAGAAACTCTTATATTGTCCATTTCCCAATTGTGGCCAATCTTACAGACATGCTATTTTGTTAGAAGATAAGCAATTTCACATTTCAGTTATTTAGAACTCTCAGATGGATACAATCTGAACCTAGTGGTTTGTTTCATCTCAATTTGTCAATAACAATGTCACTACTATTTTCATCAACTCCTGAGATACCAGCTGTGGTGCCGATATCTGTGCTATATTTTTTGAAGTAAAGATAGATGCAAACGTTTCATTCAGCTTTTCTGTAATCTTTTTATCTATTTTTCACCAAGCCTTGAATTCTCTTGTCTTCCAGCAGCCCAAATGACTCACAGGCTGGTTTCTGGTTTCCTGTGCAAAGATTTTTATTTTTGTCCAGTTATTTTGTGTTATGGGCAACATGCTGTTGAATATCTTTTTAAAAATCTCTTTCCAGCTTGGACGATGAAGATGTCAACAGTTAAATTTTTACCCTGCCTTTCTCCTCACAACAATAAAACAAAATACAAAGTGTAATACCCAGCAATTCAAATCAAAATTAGTATTAACATCATTCACTTAATTTAACAGTTAAAACTTGATGAAAGAAAAGCATTTTTTTAAAACTGGGAGAATTGAAGCAAAGGCATGAGGGGAAACAGTCCATAGCCTGGGAACTATGCAGAAGGCCCTCACCTGTATACCAGGTAGCTCAGCTTCTTCCAGCTGCAGCAGCTTCAAAGAGACCCTCTTGATGATCTTACCACTAAGCAGATTCATGGTGGATTTCTTTAGCACTAGTATGTGTTCCCTTTCTGTGTCTGTAGGAGGCTGCCAGGAAGAAGCAGTCACCCTCCAAACCTGCCATCAATATAATGTCTTAACAGAATTCCACTCTTAAGATCTTTGTTTCATTACAGAACCTTAGGACTCCACATAGTTTAATGCAAAGCCAATAAAAGCCTTTCACTTCTCAGACTTCCTCAGACAATGTCATACTAGGCCGGTAGAAGGCTCTGTGCTACAAGGAAAAAAGGTCATCATAAACTAGTTTATCTTCTGTTTGTCTGGTGAAAAACCTGGCTATTAATCTGCTACCCAACTGCCTTCAGACACAATAGCAAAGTGATTAGAAAAGGATGCTGCTATAAATTAACTACAATACTGTAAAGCTATGAGCAAAACATCTGTGATATTTCTTTGCCCAGCAAGAATTTTTCTAATCTGTGCACTCATAAGCGTCTTAAATTTCCACTGCTCCAGGTAAGTCAATATTGTTTTTCAGACAACTATCAGAACAGAGTCATGATAGATAATGGTATTTAGTAGTGACTTCCTGGGATTTTTAATTTTTTTGTCCGGTAGATGAGATGTATGTTTTGGAGTTACTTATGGCTTAACAAAACAAGCTCACCATGCTGAAATTACTGTGCTGCAAAATGAACATGCATCTTAACAAACTTGCTACCCTGAGGACACCAAAATCTGTGAAATCATTCTCGCATAGTCAGTAAAATTTCATACCAAAATGGATTCCTGTAGTGCCTTATCGGAATTGATTTAGATTTTAAGACACAGACGTACAAATAAAAATTTGGATCGTGTACTTAGCATGCCACTATATTGTGTCTTGTCAAACTGACATTGTCTCTTATTTGTGCCAGGATTTATTTATATGTCTTTTTTCTGTTAGTTTTCAAACAATTATCATTCCAATAATTCTAAAAGTACCTTTTTTCTGGAAAACTAAAACTACCAAATTAATACAGCAAGTTGATGTATTTAATATGTATGTATTAAAGTATATGTAACTTCTTTCAATGGTTTGCTTATAAAGCTAGCACTCAAGAGAAATCTGGTTATTTTAATAGAATAAAATTAATGTGGCCATGATTAGTGTCTGTGGTCAGTGTTTTAGCCAGCTGAGCCATGATTTCATGTGGTGGGCTGTCTTCCTTTCTGCAACTCCCTGTTTCCATTTTTCTCTCCCCAAAACAGATATTTAACATTCCATATCTACTGAATATTCTCTGTTCTCAGTGGTTTCTTTGGGGACTAGCTTTCACTTTTGTTTTGCTTTTCTCTAAAGTTTTCTTCAACTTCTAAAAACTCTGGATGTCTCTCAAGCACTCTTGTATCTTCCTTTGTTTTTTCTCAGTACCTTGTCATGGATCTATGGTCCTCTTACCTTAATAATATTATCATGTTAATGTATCCAGCATTCTTTGTTTCAAAAAGAGCCAGGCAGGGCTTTAGTAGGATTGTCTCAACTAAACCATCAAATCTTACTGAGCTGCAAAACAGCACCCCCACTTTAATCCAGGAACCTGATGTTGTTTCTGCTCCAAGTTGGTTCCAAAAGAAAACCTTGTCTCTTTTTCCTTCCATTCCAAAGGAACAGTTGCCACCCTATAGCAGTAGAATTCAAGATCAGTCACAGGAATAAGAATGATGTCAACAGTCAGTGATATTCAAATCTGGATTTTTTTCTAGAAACAAGCATTTTTCTTAGTGGGTGCTGTTTTTCCAATAACTATTAAAGCTCTATACTCCAGATGACAATTCATGTTAACCCATGATGGAGGCATGTTTTTTTAACTGCCAAGGAAACATTAATTATGTCTCTAAATCATCCTGGTTATCTACATTCCCAAAACTTTTAAAGACCAGTGAAAGAAAACTTGGTAAAATACCTAGGAGGATGAAGCTGGGATATGATCTATTAGATCAATTTGCCTTGTGAGGTTCCAGGGAGAGGTTGGGGTTTTTCATAAGGATCTGATGGGTGGTTTGACTGAGACCTTGGCCACCATCTGGAATGGTCATGTGATGGGGACCCTGGATCAGATTGCTATTATGTGGCATCTCACTGTGCATTGATCCCAAGGTGATCCTTGGTTTTCTGAGGAACTTCAGGAGTTGAAGTATCAGAATAAATGCCTGTAGTACTGTTGGAGGAAGACAGAGTGAATCTGGCTGAGCATGAGTAAGAGTCCATATTAGAGATTATGTCATTGCAATAAGAATGGCTAAATGAGGTTATTTTTCCACTCTTACTACACCCACAGACGGCTGTCCAGCAGCTCTTTTTCAAGTGACTCATTCTTTGCTGAGAAGAGCTACAGAAACTGTAGCTGTGAGGAATAATCTAGGCACCCAGAGGATAATGTCATTCAAATTCACTCAGAGTTCAACTCAAATTGAGCAAGTCCTGTCAAGATGATGGTGGCAAAGTCTTATGTAATTACCTAGGGCATGTTCAAGCCTGTGACTTCTAAGGAAGTGGACAGGGTCCTTGGGTCTGTTAACCCAGTCACCTGTCTATTAAATCCATGCCCATCCTAGCTAGTGAAGGCCACCCAGGAAGTGGCCTGTGGTTAGGGCCATGTGATAGCATGTGCTTCATTAACAGAGGAGGTGATATCACTTGCCTTGAGTGAAGTGATGGTGCACTGTCTCCTTAAGAAACCATCACTTAACCCGACAGTCCTGAAAATTTTTTGTCCAGTCTCCAACCTTCCCTTCTTAAGGAAGGTTGTTGAGAGGGCCCTGGAACAAACAGATTATCGACTGAGTGGCTACAGCTATTTGGGCTCAACTGGGTCAAGTGCTTTTTCACTTTTGGTCTCAGATGATGTTGCACTTCCTCATTTGAGATTAGTATAGAACTTGGGGGTCTTCCTGGACCCACAGTTCCTGCTCAGAGAGCAGGTAGCAACTGTGGTCATTTGGGCCTTTGCGCAAATTTATCTTGTGTGTCCTTTCCTTAACTAGGAGAGCCTTTAGATGGTCACTATTCCCTAGTCACCTCATAATTACACTATTGCAATGTGTTCTACATGGGGCTGTCCTTGAAGACCATCCAAAAGCTACAATTATGACTTTGAACAATCAAACAAAAAACATTGAACCTGATTTTATCTTGTCATTTTCCTTTAGTTGTTATTGCTATTGTTCTTGTTTTCTTTCTTTGGGTTTCATTTAGTTTTTTGTTGTATATAAATGGCATTTTTTCCAACAGTTCCAGCTGAGTTACATCTTTACCTCTGGTACAACAGCTGTGGTATATTAGTGAGGGACCACTGAAGTGGTCATCTAATTGATAACCCAGCGTACCTTTGTCAGTGTATTCTTCTCCATCATATCAGCAAGCATAATTGGCATTCCTATGGTGGAGTCCATACATGGAAGCTGTTATGCACAGCAATTCCTATGCTCAATGTGATTGTGCAGCTTGACCTTCGTTGCAGGTGGAATTGCAAAATGGTTTTTCCCCCCTATCAAAGGAAGATACTCTGAAGTGCTTAACCATATGAATGATGGGACATTGACATATATTAGCTTTTCCCCAATTAATGTAGTGGCGAACAGGATGATTCTCTTCAGTTAAACCGAGCTGATGTCAATGTGACCAAAGGCAGATGGCGCCGCTCTTCAAGCCCCGTGGTACACCCTATTGACTGTGTTCTTTCCAGCTGGTCATCGTGGACTGCTTGTGATGCTTGCCAGAAAAAAAGAGTAAGTCTTACTGGGATCTAAAGTTACATAACTGTTCCATATACAGCTAATTCCAGTATATTAAAATGTGGAGTTTGGCACCATAAAACTGGTTGTTGTCATGTCCATGTGACTTCCTGTTAGTCTCTCCCACCAACAGGCCTAGTTTCAGTATTCATTACTTCATCCTTTTTCATTCAGCTGACCAATACCCTTGGCAGATCCTTCCCATTTTGTGCACAGACGACGAAGTATGCCAGGACTTATTTCTTGTGATTTTCTTCTTCTTAAAAGAAATGAAATTAAATTAAAACAGATACAGTCCAGAAATAGGAATCTTAGTTCCTTGGTGGCTTCCCTGGTGGCTTAGTTCTTGGTGGCTTCCCTGAACCTGTCACATATACTTTCTCAGGATTATTCTTTCTCAGTTCATTGCCTTATATATAGCACTCTCAAAGCAGCTGTTTGTTTAGGCTGTTTAGCACCTGTATGTGCAATACCTTTTTCTAGACGTTTGCTTTTCTAACAAAAATATTCCAATACCTGGAAATAGTGTGATATTCTAATTTCTGTGAAAGTGACAACTTTTTCTTCCCTCACAAGGTGGTCTCCAGCATTTTGCCAGCTTTGTTCCTTAAACATAGGAATATTCAGGAAATCCTGTACAATCATGCCTTCTCAATCAGTTGGTGTTACAGACTTCATCGCCACAGACATTATATAGTATAAATACTATTGTTTCAATGGTAATATAATTTCTTGGCATTCCATCATAGTAAATTGCAAAACTACAATTTATTAGCATTCTTTGCTGTCTTAAAAACACATAGCAACAATACTGTCAGCTTTAAAGCAGTTTGCTTTTAAAAGACAAAAGTACAAATTTATAAATGTGACAGAAATCTTGATATATATTAAGAATAGCTTCAAGTATCATCTAACATTTAGAATAAGGACCTAACTTTCCAACCATGACGACCATGAAATTCACCAAAGGAACCTCTTCCAATTGTGTTGGATTATAACTCTCAAAACTCCCAGCCAGTGTGTCACCCAGACTGGGGAGGGTCCCTGATTGAGAAACACTGATTTATGGTCCTGGTTGAACTTTAGGCTGTATTACACAAGGTACAGACCCTTTGGAAGGAGCTGGCCTGCCTTCCTGTCTTATCCAGAATGTGGCTGGCAAGCCATTGTTTTTCTTCACTTATACTGAAGCACTCCTGATGTAGAACCCATTTGTGTTAAGTGACCTCAATTTCCAGTTTTTGACTAAGAGATGATGACATGCAGCTGCTCATTTTTCATCACTGAGTTTTTTTCTACCTAGCAAGTGCCTTCAGACTAAGGCTTTTGATTGTTACAACATTAGTGGCAAAATTCCCATTATTTTCAAAAGTACAGTATAATCTTGTCCTGTCACCATGCTAAGACAATCATTTTTACAATACCTATTCCTCGGCTTTGCTCAAAGCCACAGCTTACATATGATTATTTATCATCATTATTCCTGCTATTGGAATAGCAGCTCAACCCTTTATGACCACTAGATTTGATTCCTCCTCTATTTGTTCCAAGAATAACCTTAGAAATATAAAAACAGCAAACTGAGGAAAGCAAAGATAATATTGAACTGAGATGGATCTGTTATTTGCAAGCATTTGCATTTAAAGGGTACATGGTTTCCTGTACTTTTTCAGTAGCTGTTTAGTAAATGGGTAGAAATATGGGATCTAACATGAAAAGGAATGGATTTTCTCCATTTCCTCCAGATATCCTCCATAGCTTTATACTGAAGGTATCAGTGCTAATGATTCATTACATTCACACTCACTCTGTCAACAGAAGTGGATCAGTATAAGGTTGAATTCATAGTAGATGTGAAACTCAGAAAAGACTTCCATGAACACACCTGATGCATGAAATGTACCCATATGGTATGCCAAGGAAATGAGGTTCTTCTTTTTGTCCCCTACATTCAGTGCTTTAAGATGGTGAAATTTAGAAGATGAAGGTTTCTAAAAGCCACCTCAGAAACTGAGGGTGCAGGTAATCCATCAAATGAGCAAGGGATTTAAACTTGAGAAAACAGTCCTCAGTTTTCGAGAGATTAAATGAAATAAAGTGAGGTACAGGTAGTCCTCACTTACCAACTGCCTCATTCAGCAACCATTCGAAGTTATGATAGCACTGAAAAAGTAGGTTTACAATCAGTCCTCAAACTTGCAGCCATTGCAGCATCCCCACGGTTGTCAGATTCAGCCAGCATGGCACGGCACGACGAACGCGCTGCTCAGCTTCGCCTAGTCAATTTCACCGCCCCAGGCACTAGCAGGGAAAAAGGGGAAGTGAAAACCGCGAACTGATTGGCAACAGGTGGCGGCGCTTAGCTCAAACCACAAGCGGATACTTTGTATCATTTGTATCATACATTTATGACACTCATAGCATCCCACATGATTGTGACTTGCAACCTTCAAGCTGGCTTCTGACAAGCAAATTCAATGAAGAAGTTGGCAGAAAGTCACAAGTCCTGGTCACGTGATGTTGTGCTTAATGACCCGCAGTGATTCACTTAACAACCACAGTGGAACTGATGTCATGAATCCAGTGTGATCACATGACATTTCACTTAACAGCCACGTTGCTTAGTGACAGAGTTGCCACTCCGAATTGCAGTCGGTAAGTGAGGACTATCTGTAGGGTCACCAGAAGAGAAGAAAACTTGAGCAGAAAGGAGGTGTCATTTACTAAGAACAGAGGGCCTATGCTGTGAGATCAAGTTGCTCAAACAACTGCTGCAAACTAGTACAGAGGTGAGTACCTGAAGTCATCCAGCTAAATATGCTACTTTGAAAGACATTCAGATGTCCAAGGTTCTTTTCTAGACAACCATCTACAATACTTAGAAGCTACCTTAGCAGAGTAAAACACTGGTTGTATCTTACATTTAGATAGCTGTGAACTGAAGCACTGGGACTGAAAGCTGAATTGTCCTCTCACACACATAGAGACACAACAGATTAATGTGTCAGCATTTCCAAGATCATGGGTAGGCTGAATAATACATGGGATTCTTAATTCAATATGGAACCTTCTCCTTAGAATAAAGTTAGCAAGGATACCATTCCCATCCAAGAAGTAGCTTGCTAAACTTATGTCTTTTCTCAAAACACCTTTCACCTCTATATGCATATAGAAATAATTCTATATTATTATTTATTATTAATAATAATAATTCTGAATGTAATAGTTACATTCAGAAATCTGCAATCAAACTACATCTCACATACTAGGCAGCAAAGAGAGAAATACTTTACTTTTCCAGTATACGCTTTGATGTGCCAACTAGCAAAGATCTATACCCATCTGTGATACTTGGCTTTTAATTTAGGAGGCCTGGAATTCATAATATCTATTCTACTACAGTACAGATTTGCCCATGTGGAACAGCCTTCTCAGTTCGGCGGTGACCCGTGTGATTACACTGACAGTGAAAGTGAAGACTGTGTTATAAACAGGCCTTGCAGAAATACTCTTCGGTGTGAAGGCTTTCTCTGTGCCACAGGTTAGAGAATTAGAGGGCAGCATTCCTTAATTCAAAACTAGTGGTTAACTGCACATCTATTGAATTAGATTTGCCCTGAATAGATTGAATGGAAGAATATGGAGGTTTGGCCTCTTCAGCTATGTGGTAGAAGTTTATATTGTTGGGTTTGTCACAAATGAATGTTGATCTTCTTTGCTTGATGGACATCATAAAAAGACATGGCAACAGAATCGGTAACGGGAATGGATCACACAGACAGGCAGGAGCACGAGGTAAGTAGCCCAAAAGAGGTCATATTTATGGAACCATATCTGTTATCTGTCTGTTCAATTATTTTGTAAAGAAGTATGCATATTATTAATTCCCCTGGCATGTTCTCTTGAAAAGGCATATCTAAATGAGAAAAAGGATCACATAATTTCTGTCACATCCCTGACATTTAACATTTTTAGGTTAAATTAAATCAAATTTGATTCTACATTAACATTTCCAAACAGCATATATGACAGGATTTTGAAGGCTTAATTTCTGATCTGATGGATTATAAATTGCAGCAAGAAAAAGCAGGGAACTGTCTTCCCAAGTTATTGCCAACCAGCTGTACACTGCTAATTAAAAAGAAAAAAGTTTTTTTTCCAAGAAACACTTTAACTACAATCATCAGTATTTCTTGTGTATTAAGAATTTCTCTGAACCACCTTGTGTTATCAACCTTCACTGTAAAACAGTGGATTTATAAAGCCCACTACTGTTGAGGTTTCTCTGGCTTTGTCACTTAAGAACTCAAGATTCTGCTTTTCTTCAATAGTGGGGCAATAGCAACTTTTTTAGAATTGACAGAAAAAGCTTCCATCTGGAAGTTGCTGTGGTTGATAAAGGAATGCATGGACCATTAAGTTGTTAAGGTCTATGTGAGGATGGAAAAGTGTATAGACAATTGTCACATGATCTACTTGAATGGCAACCTGCTCAAACAGAATATAACAAAGCAGAGGTGTGGAAAATTTAGGGCTAAATCAGATCAACTTGAAAGATCTACAAAGATGAAGAAGGAAAAGATACAGCAGATGTTAAACTGGAGTGGGAAAGTGTAAATGCATGACAGAAGAAAAGTTTTGAGAATTAAGAATACATTATCTACAAAGATAATTTCTTCAAAAACCATAGTTGGATAATATATTTATTAGCATCCATACATATGTTACCAAAAACCATGGAAACTTTTGGGTTATTCAGAACTCTTTACCAGGCAAAGTCATATAAAAACAGATTGGGAAGAAAAAGAAGTCCAAAACATAGGCCAGATGTTTCAACCAGGAAGTCTGTAGTTTCAAGTCAGTTTTCGTATAAACATTGGAGATTGAATGCACTAGTCACTGTAGACTGTTATTGCTGTCAAGTTATATCTAATGTGCAGAGATGAAGAAAATGTTTGCTTCAATCAGTTTTGAAAATATAAAGTCAATCATGTTTTTGTGATTTAAAAATCTGGTAGCAAATGGGGACAAAAAGCAATCAAGTGGACTCCCTTTCCATAGATCTAGAGGTTAGGCACAGACACTTCAAATTTAAGCATCTTTTAGACAGTGGTCTTTTTCTGATGTAATATTTAAATATTATGTCATACTCTATACTAGTATATTAATAATTTGGGACAGATGAAAAACCACAAATTGTTTCTTCAACACATTAGTTAACCTGTGGAATCTGCTGATACAGTGGCCAAGTCATAATAGCTGTCACCTTGGGCTGTCTTTAAGGATAGTTGGAAGTTCAATTCTTATCACTCTTGGCGGAGGTGTATATATATTTCAGAATTATGTTGTATCAAATAACTTCTAATAAAGGCTTTATTTGCATCCCAAACCATTCTAAAATCAGTACCTTTATTTAAATTATTTTCAAAAAATTCTTTTAATTTCTTTTTACAATCCTCAACAATTTCTTCTTTCTGTAACAATGCTTCAGTTAGTCTCCATCAGAAAAAAACTAGATTTTCTTTTATAAACCGGACTCACAGGATTATGGTCTGAAAAAGTATTTGGTAAAATCTCTACTTTGGAAATTTTAGTAGCCAAGTCTCTTTAAATCCAAATCATGTCATTTCTTGAAAAGGATCTGTGTCTTTCTGAAAAATAAATATACTCTCTTGAGCTGCCACTTTTTCTGTCTCTATATATCAACCAACCCAAAATTGTCCATCAAATCAAAGAAGACTTTTGGTAATTTACCTTGAGTAATTTTAATATTTTTATCAGAAGTCCTATCCAGCTGGGGGGAAACCACTCCATTCCAATCCCCCATCAAACACCAACTTTCATAAGAAAAGTCTGTTAGTCTGTCCATAAGTTGTTTGTTAAAAAATCACTTTATCCACATTTGGGGCATAAACTCTCAGCACCATAGGTTTAATCTCACATAAATTACCATCTACCCCAACAAATCTGCCATGCTTATCAGTTAATACAAGTTCTGGATTTAGTTGGGAGTTAATATACAAAACACCAATTCTTTATCCAAGGATTTGTTGGTCAAATATTATATA